GCAACCCTCGGTGTTGCTCCCGCACCTCGCTCAGCCAGTGAGCAGGAACCGGTCTGTACGTGGGATCCGAACCCTCGGCGGGAGCGCCGCCACGCTTCCCAAGCGGCGCACTATCCAGTGCGCCACCGGGCCGGCCCAAGGATGAGTTATTCTTAACCTACGCAAATGTTAATGATGACAAAACCAGCAGTTTCAAGGAAGTAGATAGTATGCATATGTGAGCATCATACCCATAGAGCTGTACTCCTTGAGTTTCTCCAGAACTGCAGGCAAGCTCAGACCCTTGGAGGGCAGAGCTTTCACATAATCTTTGTCCACTGTCAGGAATGACGTGATCTTCCTAATATCATCCTTGGCCTCGTTCAACTTTTCTTGAATCTTCAAAGGTAAAAAAGACAAACTTTAACAAGAAGATAGAAGAGTACAACACAGAAAACAGAACGGCCAGTTATGACATCCAGTCATGTACTCAAGGCCAGGCACTGCACAAGTGCTATTAAACTAGGATGGTATTTTTCCTTAGAAAGACGTGGTGATATTTTGACTATTCAGCTATTTTCTGGCCTACACGACAACCTCTTAGAAGTTTGAAAGGTCAAAGATGCACTCAATTTCCCCACACCCCTTTTCTCTGCCATGTTGACATCACCACTGCTTACTTGGTTTACATTTGCTAAAGACAGCACTTCTCTGAGAGCCATCTCTGGACCTTGTTCCTACCTTGGCAGAAGCTACAGTATGCAAGTGAAAGAGACAAAAGTGGAGCTATGAACAGTAGCCAGAAAACCACTCCAGCTGCAGTAAAAGGTATTCTAGTCCTTGCACAAGTAATGAGCACCTTCAACCAACATGCATAGACCACACCAAGAATTTGGAGACCTTGTACAACTCCCCATGCACAAGCACAAGCATTCTAAGAATTTCCAGGAAGAACGCATTTATCTCCCTAAGCTGTTGTTGACAGCTTGTACCATCTAACCCTAAAATGCTAAGAGTAACTAAGGTTCTTTCTGCGATGTAATTTAACAACTGTGGTGATTTCTTTCCCATCCTCATTGCCACAGCTTCTGAGGCATTTTCTCTCATTCATTCACTTACTTAGTCAACAACTATTTTGATCAACTAATTTGTTGAGCAACTATTGCAGGCCACAAATATGCAGTGAACAAAAACTTAAGCAGTGAGATTCACAGTCAAAAAAAAAATTCCTACTCTCATGAAGCTTATTTAGTGGGAGAGACAAAAAATTAAAAGTCAGGTAATAAAGAAAGCTGGGGGGGAAAAAACAGAACAGAGAAAGGAGGCAGAGTGGCAGGGGCTGCTATTTGTGATAAGAGACATTTGAGTGATAGGTTTGGGAAGAGAGGCTACATGTCACAATTTGTGCATGTTACAGTGCTATGGTTTCAGCAATATACAAGTATTTGTTAAAGTTTGATGCCCAAGATCTTACTCCTAACTATTTAGATTTTCTCATCTGTATCCATGGATAACTGGAATACAAGAGAGTCTTCTTAGATGTGGCACTCAATGAATCCACAGCGAAAACCACCCATTTAAAACACAACTGCAACAGTCTAGCAGGCCAGCACTGGCAGGTATAGAGTCCATGCCCTTGGGCAATGCCAGAGCATGCTATGGACATGGAGTCATATTTAAAGTTGTAAATAAAAAATTATGCTGCATAAATGGTGACCATGCAACAGGAACAAACTATGAAAGCTGAATTTGTATGCATAAACTACGCTGTTGTATTAAAATAAAACAAACAAAAAATGATGATAATAGTAGAGCAAGTATTTCCTCACCCTCAGTTCTTGCTTCAGAGCCTATATCAACCAATTTTAATTTCTTCATAGCATTTAGTTCAAAATAAAATTCTTATGTATTTGTTTACTTGTTTGTTTTCTGTCTTTCCTACTAAAATACAAGTTCCATAAGAGGAAGGACTTAGTCATTCATCACTGCATTCTCAGTGCCCAAAAAAGTATCTAACACTGAGCCGGTGCTCAATAAACATGCTGAATAAATGAATGTAAGTGAACAAATGAGAGAAGGATACATGTACATACAGTGAACAAATAACTTTCTCTCTAAAGCTCAGAATCTGCTTCTGAAAAATGGAGGCTGATTAGATAGTCCTAAGGATCTTCCAACTGCATTATTTTATAAAATTAAGAATGGGTTCTGGAACCCTAGCATTTCTTTGTCTCAAAATCTGAAAACTGAAGGAGAAAAGTGAGAAGGAGAAGAACAGAAAAAATACAGGAAATGATAAGGGGAAATCCTATTGTCCTTTGTTGTACAGTCCACACTCCATAATATCTTCCCTGTCTCCATCCCTTACTCTTTAAGGACTAATGTAGACTTAGATTTAAGGCTAAATATGATTTGGGGAGCAAAGAGAAACCTACTTACTCTCTTTCCCCTTCACTACCCCAGTTATTACTGCCACTTCCCTGCAAAAACTGAACACATTTCCTGGGAGAGATAGCATAACAGTCCAAATGCATTTCAGCCAAAAGTGAAAGAGAATTGCCACCTTTTCTGGTTTGGCCAGAAAATAGGAAAGGGAATTTGAAAGCCAAAAGTGAAAGAAAACCTGAAGGCAGGCAAAGTTGGGAAAGACCAAAGGAAAGCTGATGGCCAATTTTAATTTCTTCACTAAAGAAAGTAAGTTGAGGGCCAAGGCAGGGTACTGGGGGAAACGAAGACATCAAGGACTCATCTGCCTTTCTTTGAGCTTGCAAAAGGGCCTGGCCTGTTTATCTTCATCTGTGATAAAGAACCTGTGGGAAGGGCACAGAGGTGAAAATCTTATCCTCAGTGTGGGCAAGAGTACAGAGGATAAAAGTGAAGGGAACATACCATGTTGCAGCAGGTTCAAAGAGCAAGAGAAGAGCTCTGCTACCTCTTTAAGTTTCCAAACGTGGGAAAAGCAAACCACAACCAGGGGCCAAATCTAGCCTACCTCTTCTCGTAAATAAAGTTTCACTGGAATACAGCAAGGATCATCCCTTAACCTGTTCGTCCTCTTGTCGTCCTGTGTAAGAGCACAGTTGAGGAGTTGTGATCACAAGACATGGTATGGCCCACAGGGCCTAAGATGTTTCACATCTAGCCCTTTACAGAAAAAGTCTGCAGATCCCTGATCTAAACCATGTAAGCGCCTAACCCCTGGATAAATATCTAAATTCAGACCAGCCAAATATTGTTCCAAAGCACCAAACACGTCAATCAGATTTTCTAACTTCAAAATCTTCTTCCTTAACAGACTTCTCATCTCTCCTTTGACCAAATATGTTGGAGAAAGGGTTAAGTCAAGGTTTCTCAACCATTGCCCTTTTGGCATTTTGATCCAGGTAACTCTGCTGTGGGGCTGACCTATGCATTGTAAGATGCTTAGCAGCATCACTGGCCACTATCCACTAGATGCCGACAGCACACCACCTGAGTTGTGACAACCAAAAATATCTCCAAACATTGCCAAATGTCCCCTGGAGGCGGGGGACAAAATCATCCCTCCCCCTTGAGAATATTAGGTTTAGTAAATGAAAAGAAAGAGGTATGATTATCAAAGGTGGAGGGGAAGACCTATACAGATTCCACCTACCTTGCGACCAATAATAGGCATCTTCCTGATGAGCTTAAAACATTTCTTTTTAAACCTTGACCATAAGCCTAAAAGAAACAAATGGTTGTATTATTCAAATAAATTTCTATGGATATGACCTGTTGGTCATAATGTAGCAACTATTCAATGTGTATCACACAACCTCACTTGCCTTCAGATTGCAAAGGTAAGGTTTCTTTGCTTTTAAAAACAAAAAACAAACCAAAAAAAAACCCTTTTAAATTTACTTTTTTTTTTAAAGTAATACATCTACATGGTCCACAACTTAAAAAAAAATGAACACACAGTGAAAAGTTTCTCTCTCTCTCACCCATCCACCAGACCCTCATCCTACCCCCAGGTAAACACTACTATTAGTTTCTACTATATCCTTTAGAGTTTCTTTATGAATGTAAAGGCAACAGTAAAGATATATTCTTATTTGCCTCCCTTTTTAACAAAATGTAGCATGCTCTAACACTGTATGATTCTTTGTTTTTCCACTTAGGAATATTAAAATAAATTATGGTACATCCGTATAAGGGAATACTCTGCAGCTATAAAAATGAATGAAGCACTTCATTCATTCATTTTTATAGCTGCAGAGTATTCCCTTATACGGATGTACCACAATTAATTTAACCTGCCCTTTACTGATGACATATATTTGCTATTGCAAACATGCTGAAATAAATAACCTTGAAACACACACCATACTGCATACATACAAAGTATATCTATAGGAGAAATTCCCAGAAGCAGAACTGCTGGGTCAAATGGTATACGTATTTCAGGGCCGGCCCAGTGGCGCACTGCTACAGTGCACCGCTTGGGAAGCGCGGCGGC